CATCCCAAAGCCGCTTGCATCCGTGTCTAATATACAAGTTTTTGTCGTGTCAGGATATCCAAGAACTTGTGCTGAAATTAAATATTCCTTCAAAGCATCCATTGCTTTCTGACATTCCTGTGTCCATTTGAAATTGTCTCCCTTTTTGTGAGTTTGTGGAGAGGTATTCACAAATGAATGGGCCTTCTTTTGCTTTAGTAGTCCCTGTACTTTAAGTTAAGGGTTCATTTATGGTTAGGGCTAAGGTAGTGTTCGTTTAAGGTTAGGGCTAGTGTAAGGGTAATTTAGGTTAAAGGTTAATTAAGTATCGCTCTGTATGGGTTGGGACGCCTAAAGTAAAAGAAGCCATTAAATGGACACCACATCACTGAATATGATCGACATAATTCTTCATTTGAATAATAATAAAAAATTTCCAGTCTGTTGTATTTTGATACATTTCACTTTAACATTTTCGAGAGACTTCGAAAAAGATATATTTTTTTCAGTTCTCGTCGAACACACGTAATTGAGTGTTTATGTCTTCAATATTTCTTTAGATAAAACAGATCCCTACGATAAAGAAGGAAAAGACCTTTAGTCCTTATGGTTGAGATACGTAGAATTGGAGCTCTTGCAGAGAAAGGTAATCAATCAATTTATTCTTTTTTCTAAATATATATTTTTTAACATATTAGGGACAAAATTTATTTATTTGTTTGTTTATTCACATGTAGATTTCACACTTTTTAATCTAATTTTAAATGAATGTAATATGTCTACCAATGGGTCAAATGGGTTGGTATCGATGCTGGTGGACTGTAAGACAGTGGGTGTACCACTCGCCAAGTTGACAGAATGCATTTCGGATCTCCAAGAAATTAAACTAGTGTGACGGATGTGTTTGATTGCTCGGTTTAATCTTTTTTAATCTTGTCCAAACTTGTGTTCTCGAGTATACCGGATAAGGATTATTTAAGAATCACATTTCGTGCGCATTGAAATCGGAATCATACCTGCGAATAAGGGACAATAAATGGCCTCTTTGAACTTATTTATGAAACCGTATAATAAATTCCGATTGTTGTTTTAGGATTCATGGCTAAAAAGAGTGAAGAAAGACGTCAGAATGTTTTAGCTAGGAGGGATTCAATTTTAACAATAAGATTAAAAAGACAGAAGAAAAAATAAAAAGAAACAATCTTATGGCAGAAAAGAAGATGTTGTATAAGGAAAAGAAATAGAAATTCTTGGAAGAAAGGGAAGAAATTGACACAAAGAAAAACCAAGTTATCAACAAAAAAGAAATAAAAACCACTGGCCTTCCAGACGTTTTTGTTTGACTCCTTTATGCATTCAATTTTTCAATGAAATACAAAATTATAAAACTTATATTACTTGCATTATTTCAGTAGTGCCGCCATCATTCAACGTCGGTCTATGGAATCCGTTCATGAAACATTTTTTTTGTTTCAATCAATGTAATAAAAGAATTTATAAAAAATATATAATCGGCTATTTAACCATGGAAAAAAATCAGACGAGATGGAGAGATACAATTTGCATTTAGAATAAGAAGATTATAAGGAGAATTACTTTCAACATTTTATATTGCAATATATGACTGCAATTGTCTCATCAATAAAAGGAAAATTAACAATAGAAAAGGATAAGTTGTCCTGTTTATCATAAATTTTTATATGAAGATTATAATGAAAAATCATAATGTTAATGTTCAATAAGGATATCAGTCTCTATCAAATATAAAAATAAGAAGATTTGGTATAATTACCAATGAGACAACTCTCCACAAGAGACCAAATGAAACAGAAATGTTTATTTAGAAAGGATAAATACATTTGCAGTGGCGTAGCTTGACTCTCATTTCTAGTAAGATAAACGATCTGAGACTTTATAGGAGTAAAAGCTTCAGCGCAGTCCAAAGATTGCGATGCAGATTGGAAACGGGTGGTAAATAGGTGTAAACCGTTTTGCATCAGTGTTTTCGTTATGTACATATGCAAATTGTTGAATGTTTTACAGGTTTAATTGATTGCTGTATTCCATAACGCCCAATGACAAATATTTCATGCATATTAAGACCAAAATTAAATTATTAATAATCTAATAGATATAGGTTTTCCGAAGTAGGTCGACGAGAATGAGACCACGAATTTCGACTGTCACTTGAAAAGCAGAGTGTGTTAGACGGACAACAGACCCCTATAGACTCCCTACAGAGTTGATTCTATGGTTACTTAACATGCAGTGAGTGTGGCAACCTCCCTACACGAAACATCTGGTTAAAAACGTCCCAATCACGACCAAACGTGGATGCGTATTTATACATCCCGCGCAGCCAAACGAATGCCCTTTCATACTTTTACATAAACTTCAATTACATTGTATTTATAATTGGAATCATCATTTCGATCTTTAGAATTTAAGTGTTGTCTTGTTCTTTTTTTTCAATCTTTCTTTTTTCTTTTTTTGTGCGTGTGTTTTTTCCCCGGGGGGAGGAGATGCGCTCTTGATTAGCTACACACTGGCTTAAGTTCTTGTTTATGAAAACTTCTGATTTTAGAATATTTTTATCATGAAATAATTCTTTTTTCCAAAGCGCATTTCACCAATACATTTGAACGAAACTGCTGTTTGAAATTATTATTCTCGATATTAAAATCAAAATATGAAACAAAAATAGCTGAGATAATCATGACCACCTCTTAATATAAAAATAAGGAGATGTGGTATGATTGCCAATGAGACAAATATCCACCAGAGTTCAAATGAAGTGGATGTAAGCAATTATAGGCAACGTACGGTCTTCAACAATGAGAAAAAAAACCATACCAAAACGGCTATAAAAGGTCCCGACATGAAAAATATGAAACAATTCAATTGAGAAAACTAACAGCCTAATTTATAACAAAACAATTTACGAAAAACAAATATGACAGACATGAACCAACGACAACCACTGAACTACAGGCTCCTGACTTGTGACAGGCGCAAAACGAATGTGGCGGGATTAAACATGTTTGTTATCGCTCAACCCTCCCCTTAACCAGAGACAGTGGTGTAACAGTACAACATAAGAACAAACTATAAAAATCAGTTGAAAAAGGCTGAACTCATCAGATGGATACAAATAGAAATACATCTAACAAAAACACAGAGTAGACGTGGACGGGTACTTGTACATCCTAACAACAAAAAGACACTTAGTACAGATCTGAGAGTACTCGCAATTACTGACAGCTAGTTCAAAGCTAATAACAACTAATAAAAAAAAGTATAGATTCTAGGTACTGATGTTGTTTATCATCTTAATATCGTGTTATAGTGTTCTTTTATTTTTCTTTGTAAATTATTAACGTTTACTGTTTGGTCCATTTTTGGTAATGTCTTTAGGCGTGGCTCGGTACTTGTACATCCCGCCATTGTGTTGTTGTGCTGTTGTCATTTTTTGTATTCTTGTGTTTCATTTTTGCGGATGTGTTTTGTCTATATGCAATTTTGTTTTTCTTTGTTGACATATTTGTTTGTTTTTATAGTGATTGAGATTATAACACAATGTTGACTGCTGTACCCCTATTTTTGACATTTTTACCTATTATGTCTGTTTGTTTTGTTCACACATTGTTGTCATTATAATGGAATTTTATTTTGTCATACAAGCGAGAGGTTTAACTAGCTTTAAAACCAGGTTTAATCCACCATTTTCTACATAAGGAAATGCCTGTACTGAGACAGTTGTCTTCCGTTCGTTTGGTGTGTTTGAGCTCTTGCATTTGCCAATTGTTAAGGTTCTTTCCGTTTTGAATTTCCCTTGGAGTTCGGTATTTTTGTTGTTTTACTTTTAAGTAAGAGCACAAGTCAGAACCGAACCATGTCTAGTTGAACCTTTACTTGATGCATCTATAAAACGAAAGTTCAAAGGTTTCTGGTGTTATTTAGGAAACCAATACATAGTCGAGGGGTAGACAGGGGGTACCCTTCTCCCACCTCCCGCCCCTATCTCCCACCTCCCACTTTTAGAATCTCTCCCACCTATTTTTTGTCTCCCACCTCCCTCAAAAGCTGTCCACCCCCTCATAGTGGAAATCAAGTGGTATTCGGTAGCAGCTTTAAATTCAGTCGTCGTTGAAGCATGTCACGTATTCTACCATCTTACGAGTGACAAATATCTACAAATGTTTGCCCAGTAATACTTGAAATAAAAAATGACCGATAACTATAAATAGGAGGAAAACCATGTTTCTTATCATGTATAGCTTTAGTCTAAATGATAAAGACGTCTTGTGTGGATTTTTTGCTGGTCAATTACTTTTTAACGTCAAATCTCGGAAAGACGTCAAAGCAAAAAAATGAAAGAAATAAACCGAGACGTCATAATAATTTGGACTAGTGCAGCTTTGGTATTTTTTGTCAGGGTCTAACAAAAATGTGTTACTCCAAGTTTATTTTTACCAGTAGGACAACCGGATGTCTTACTGTACAGTACAACTAATATAGATTCGCCCATCCACATTAACAGTCTGATCTACACTAGCACTCAAGTTTTTCTATCACTGAAAAACATAGGTTGGCCCGTTTTTCAGTTTGACAGTAACACATGCGTGTTCTGATGAAGGATTAACTATATAAATCCTTGTGCTGATTAACAAGAAAACAATTGTCATTTCGGGGCCTTTTATTAGTGACTATGCGGTATGGTTTTTGCTCATTGTTGAAGGCTGTACGGTGACCTATAATTGTTAACTTCTATGTCATTTCGTCTCTGGTGGAGAGTTGTCTCATTGGCATTTATACCACATCTTATATTTATATTTAAAAGTACTGGAATTAGTTATCTCATACAGTATATGCAATCTCAGTATTAAATCGACTTACCTGCATTCTTGTTCGTTCAAATTCAGTACATTTTTGTCCTTACTGGTAAATAGTAACGTATATGGTACTTGGGTAAACTTTATCTAAAACGTTCATATGATCAAGATCGTATCTATGACATTTGAGACGCTACAGTGCAATATGGCGGGAGCTGGTGCTAAAACTTTTGTGGACAAAAAGCTAGCCCAAAGAAAAGTTTTATTGTTCTCTAAGTCAACTGACCCTGATTGCAATGTTGCAAAGAATATTTTTACAGAATTTAACTTGGGACATGATATTTATGAGGTCGTTGAAATAGAAAAGAGGCAAGATTGCACACAGATTGAGAACTATTTCCAAGTTTTATGTTTGTCTGATACTCGAGAGGTATGTGTTATGGGATGTTAGACTGACAAAATATCACTAACTTTTTTGATTTTAGCTACTAGCTGACATCATTTGAAAATGAACTAACACAGACTGACACTTACACGACATCCCGAAATTCCTAAACAAAGCCTAAACTGCTAAAGGTCAAGTTACAGATAAATGGGTCTCACTATTTAGAGACAAGAAGCGATAGATGACAAGAAGACTAATTTAACGACAAGAAAAGAAATTTAGCATCTACACGATGTAGATATTTCAAATAAAGAAATAAAGAAATGTGCATTAAAGTGTTCTTAAGGAGGTATATACATGTATGTTATGTCACATGATTTTGTAGAACTGAGCATGCCCAGTTTTACAATTATTTGTTGAACTGGGCATGCATTGTTTTACAATTTTCATACGATCTGTACACCATTCACAATTTCCCAGGAAATTGTCTGGGGGTAATTGTACAAGTACAGTGGAGTTCCCGGTGTCCGTGCGGCCGGTGATATCACGCATTAGCTGATTTCGTCATATCAACACAGTAACACAAATAAAATCGTTCTTGTTATTGTTTTAGCCTTCTGAAGGGATAAAAAAAGAATAAAATTGATAAGTTCAAGAGTTAATTAATTACTGCAATCCCGGGATTTACAATATTAGGCCAATTTCCATTAAAAAAATTACATCATCAGATTAAATTTGTTTTAATTTAGTCAAATTTAAATCAGATTGAAATATTTTTTGCTCTGCATCCTTGGCAGTGTGTTTGGTTTAAATTCAGCTATATTTCATAGTATAAAATCTTTCCTTTATTCAAAATAAGCTATTTTTGGAAGGCATGCGCGAAATCACCGGACATTGGAGGAACTCTCAGAACAGGGGTTTCCCTAATTTTGGACACGCATTACACAAAACCTGAGGGTGAAACCATACAAACAGAAGATTTTATGAAATAAAAGTATGTTATGAATGTGTTCAAACAATATTATCCAATTATTGGTTTCATCAGTTGAATGAAGTGAAGTCATAAGTCTTAGGTGTGCGGATAAACCGGACTGCACCGTATACATGTACAGTAATGAAGCCTAGATCATCATACAATTGTAAAACTCTGCATGGTTCGTCATACAATTGTAGGACTGTGCATGCTTCATCATATAATTGTAAAACTGTGCATGCTTTGTTATTTATGGAATGCCCAGTTTTACCAAAGTTTGCTGATCTGGTCTAGCATTGTTTTACAATTTTCATACGATCTGTACACCATGCACAATTCCCCGGAAATTGTACAAGTGAGCAGCCCATATATGCATGTAAAGTAATGAAGCCTAGATTATCAAACAATTGTAAAACTATGCATACATGTACTTATGCACGTACAGTAATGCAACCAGGATTGTCACACAATTGTAAATAACTGTGCATGCTTTGATATTTATGTAATGCCCAGTTTTACCAAAGTTTGTTGAACTGGGCATGCATTGTTTTACAATTTTCATACGATCTGTACACAATGCACAATGCCTCTGGAAATTGTACAAGTGAACAGTTCATATCATATACATTTAAAGTAGTCAGTGCAGCTTAGATCATCAAACAATTGTAAAACTGTACATGCTTATTCACGTAAAGTAATGCATCTGGGTTCTTCAAACAATTGTAAAACTATGCTATAATTTATACATGTATGTAATGCCCATTTTTGCAATTGTTTGTTGAACTAGGCATGCATTGTTTTACAATTTTCATATGATCTGTGTGCACCATGCACAATTCCCCTGGAAATTATACAAGTGAACAGTTCATATATACATGTAAATTAATGAAAGTAATTGTATAACTGTGCACTTGAATTAAATGATTTCAGAATTATGCAAATAATTGTAAAACTGTGCACTTGAATTATATCGGTGCATAATCATGCAAGAAGTTGTAAAACTCTGCACTTGAATTAAAATCATTTTACTTCAATTAATCATGTAATAGGATTTATGCAGCATTTTGCTAATGGTGTTCAGCACAAATAAAACTTGCAGAATTGTGCATGCCCAATTAGTCTGATATATGTCTATTTGGGCATGCCCAGTTCTACAATTATTTTTACCCATTTATACCTGGAGTAACTGGGATATTTCCCCCTTAGTTTTTGAAATCCAATCACGGTATAAAATACCATTTGTTAATTTAATTCTATCCTGCTGAAACCAATATACTTTAAATATTCAACTTTGTTCCGATATACTTTCCCAATTTGGCTTATGTGGACTTCCCTCTTCAGGTTCCATAACTGTCCCAATACTTATCTGCTTGCTGCGCCCGGGATATTTCTTCCAAACTTCTTCCTTCCACCCATTTCAGACTTTCATCACTGTCCTCTGTGTCTTCCTTCATTGGTACCAAGGATTTCAGGTTCTTTTGCTGCCTTTGTCACTCGCAGGTGCTATATGTTATCGGACTCCGAATTGCTTTGTCTTTCTCTTCTTGTCTACTGCAGTAATTGCATGTGGTACAAGGTCGACGTGATAGACCGTCTGCATTACTATGTTGTTTCCCGGGCCTATGCTGAATAGTAAAGTTGTACGATGCCAAAACTTCCAACCATCTAGCCATTTGGCCCTCTGGGTTCTTAAAGTTTAGCAACCAGTTAAGGGCGCCATGGTCAGTTCTAACCAAGAACGACCCCCCCATACAGGTAGTGGTGGAAATGCTTCACAGAGGCAACTATTGCCAGTAATTCCTGTTGGGTTACGCAATAGTTACATTCAGCTTTATTTAGAGTCTTACTGAAATATGCAATGACAATCTCTTTGTCTTGTTGAATCTGTGGCAATACAGAACCCATCCCAAAGCCGCTTGCATCCGTGTCTAATATACAAGTTTTTGTCGTGTCAGGATATCCAAGAACTTGTGCTGAAATTAAATATTCCTTCAAAGCATCCATTGCTTTCTGACATTCCTGTGTCCATTTGAAATTGTCTCCCTTTTTTGTGAGTTTGTGGAGAGGTATTCACTAATGAATGGGCCTTCTTTTGCTTTAGTAGTCCCTGTACTTTAAGTTTAGGGTTCATTTATGGTTAGGGCTGAGGTAGTGTTCGTTTAAGGGTAGGGCTAGTGTAAGGGTAATTTAGGTTAAAGGTTAATTAAGTATCGCTCTGTATGGGTTGGGACGCCTAAAGTAAAAGAAGCCATTAAATGGACACCACATCACTGAATATGATCGACATTATTCTTCATTTGAATAATAATAAAAATTTTCCAGTCTGTTGTATTTTGATACATTTCACTTTAACATTTTCGAGAGACTTCGAAAAAGATATATTTTTTTCAGTTCTCATCGAACACACGTTATTGAGTGTTTATGTCTTCAATATTTCTTTAGATAAAACAGATCCCTACGATAAAGAAGGAAAAGACCTTTAGTCCTTATGGTTGTGCATGCCCAATTAGTCTGATATATGTCTATTTGGGCATGCCCAGTTCTACAATTATTTTTACCCATTTATACCTGTCTTAAGCCATTCTTTATGGACACTTATAATTAGTATTATCTGATGAATGAAAGATTATCTCATCCAATATTCTCTTATATTAAGAGTAATTGCCATTTGCTTTATTTACATAATTTATTTATCAATAATTGAATTACTTTACTGTTGTGAAACCATTATGATTTTGGGATTTTAGAAATTTAAAATGTTCAGATTGATGAATACTTTAATAAATTACAAGAAGGCATACATGTAGCTACTAAATACAAAATAATTTGAAACTTTATAAAACAATAATAATTTATAAATTGTAATTAATTAACATTTTTGTAAATTTAATGTTTTTGTCGAGCCTGCGACTTTTGTCGCAGAAAGCTCGACATAGGGATAGTAATCCGGCGGCGGCGTTAGCTAACTCCTTAAAAGCTTTATATTTTAGAAGGTGGAAGACCTGGATGCTTCATACTTTGTATATAGATGCCTTATGTTACGAAGTTTCCATCTGTCACATGTCCATTGTCCTTGACCTCATTTTCATGGTTCAGTGACTACTTGAAAAAAAGTTAAGATTTTTTGTAATGTTAATTTCTCTCTTATTATGAGTAATAGGATAACTATATTTGGTATGTGCGTACCTTGCAAGGTCCTCATGCCCGTCAGACAGTTTTTACTTGACCTCGACCTCGTTTCATGGATCAGTGAACAAGGTTTAAGTTTTGGTGGTCAAGTCCATATCTCAGATACTAGAAGCAATAGGTCTAGCATATTCGGTGTATGGAAGGACTGTAAGGTGTACATGTCCAACTGACAGGTGTCATCTGACCTTGACCTCATTTTCATGGTTCAGTGGTTATAGTTAAGTTTTTGTGTTTTGGTCTGTTTTTCTTATACTGTATGCAATAGGTCTACTATATTTGGTGTATGGAATGATTGTAAGGTGTACATGTCTAGCTGGCAGGTGTCTTCTGACCTTGACCTCATTTTCATGGTTCAGTGGTCAAAGTTAAGTTTTTGAGTTTTGGTCTTTTATTCTAATACTATATGCAAAATGTCATCTATATTTGGTGTATGGAAATATTTTATGATGTACATGTCAGTCTTTCAGGTTTTATTTGACCTTGACCTCATTTTCACGGTTCATTGCTCAGTGTTAAGTTTTTGTGTTTTGGTCTGTTTTTCTTATACTATAAGCAATAGGTCAACTATATTTGTTGTATGGAAGGATTGCGAGCTGTACATGTCTGTCTGGCATTGTTCATCTGACCTTGACCTCATTTTCATGGTTCATTGGTCAATGTTTAGTTTTCTTGGTTAAGTCTGTATCTTAGAAACTATAAACAATAGGTCAACTATATTTAGTGTATTGAATGATTGCAAGTGTACATGTATTTCTTGTTTGGTTTATATGACCTTGACTTCATTTTCTTGGATCATGTTAAGTGTATGTGATCGTTGTAGTAAAGCTTTATATTTAGGACTATCAATATAATATCAATGATTAGTAAAGAAGGCGAGACATTTCAGCGTGTGCACTCTTGTTAAAATAATATATAAACTTTCTTGTCGCTAAATTTTGTCTTCTTGACGCTTCTTGTCGCTTCTTGTCGTGAATTAGTGAGACAGCAGTAAATCGGCTATGTTACAGATTTTGGTAAAATTTAGTATACAACTTTAGATCGTTAAACTACAACTGAAAATAAAAAAAAAAATATTTAGTTGATCTCTTTTATTTTCTGAAATATTGCTGATTGAATTGTTTCAAAAAAGGGAACATTTGTATAGAAAGCACTTAAAATTTGTGGTAAATGTTCTTAATTTGCCTTTAAATCATCAAATCTCCAATTTCAAATTCATATATGTTGGTGTTGTAAAATATAGGCTTCTGACTTTGAACAGACACAAACAGAATGTTGCATGGGTTAAACATGTTTGTGAGCGCTCAACCCTGCCATAATCATGGACAATGGTGTAACAACACAACATAAAAACAAAGCCTAAAAATCAGTTGGATGGCTTTACACATCAAATCGTCAAGAACAAAACCAGTTTATAGGCAGTTAAAGAAGAATTTAAGCTTAGTATAGAATATTTCAAATAAAGAACAGTTTGTATGCAAGGTCAAAGATGTTCTATTTTATTATATTGGTTGGTGTCATTGCATATCAATAAAAAAAAAATTATTTCTTTCAGGTTCCACAGCTATTTATAGATGGTAAATACATTGGAGGATGGCGAGAGATCCCCCGACTCCATAAGTCAGGAAAACTGGCAGAAATGGTATACAACTGGAAAAAGAAATGAAAGCAAGAGTGTCAGTTCTAGTAATAAAACTATGTGACTAAATTTGTAAAAAAAAAAACCCATTGTACTCAATTTATATAGAAATTTACTATTTATTTTGATATAAGCATGATAATATTGTGTTTTTAGATTTGTGTTATTGTTGAGATTACATGTATAACAACTGAAAATGAAATTTGTTTGCCAGTATTGTATTTGAATTTTCTGTGATGGAAGATTTTTATGAGATTAAGAAAAAATAGTTTTATTCTATTAACATCCAATTGTTTACATATTATTTGATAATGCAACTACTTCTGCTAAATGTTTTGAATACATTGGTACTCTAATCTATCTGAGTTGTCTTAGGATATATCTCTTTAGAGAACCAATATTTTCAATTTACAGAAAAGTAAAAACGAGAATGTTCGTATTCTTTAGTATAAAATAATATTTTCTTAAATGGGTGTTCTAGTATTTTCTTAAATGGGTGTTCTAGCAATACATGATTTAATGACATATAATTCTAGATTTATATAAAGATAAAAAAGCTTTTTTCGTAAAGTAATAATTCTTGATCAATAATTGATTGCCACTAATTTTATAAATCATGAACTTTTGTATCCATATTTTGAATTTCTAAAAAATCTAAATGAAAGATTAAACACATTGATCTTGATTTACAGCAATATCTTATATAAATCACAAAGCATGTATGAAGAAAAAAGTAATTGAACAATTCATCTTCAATAGGTATTTTTTTTAAGAATGGCAAGTTTGTAAACCATGGAAAATTTTGTCATGTATAATTGATTGAAATTTTCTAGATGTAGTTCCTTTGTAATATCAAATTTGATTCAGTATTTTTGGTAATACATTTTTGTGCCAATATTTATAGGAAAGTGATTTTCGTTAACAGTGTCAAATGTTTTACCATACAATTTATTGTATTTACTACCGAACATTATTTTATTAGTTTTATAGTTTTATTGCTAAATTAAAGTAATATACAGATGGTCTTCTTTAAAATATATGATTTAAAGTAGCATTTTACAGTAGTTTTTTTAAACTACCATCATAGTGCCAAAATGAAAATTAGTAAGATGAAATACTATAAAAACAATTGTGACTAGATTTATTTACCTGAAAACAGCTCTAAAAAAGCACTAACAGTCATACATTTTATTTTATCTGAAGGCTGAAATTAACAATGACTGAAAATAGTTGTTCTAAGAAGAGAAGGTGTTATAGACATTGACAAATGGTTTGCTCTGCTAAATGCTAGTTAGAATCGAGGAAATATATGCTATTGTGAGCTATACATTATTAAATTGATGATGTCATGTATATTTCTAACATGTGTGTTATTCCAAAAAAAGATTTTTATGTGTAGTATACCCACATGTACATGTAAGTATTTAAATAATAATGAATGTATCATCTCCAAAATACTTGAATAGTTCTATCTTGTACTTTTGTCATCTCTTCCTTGGAAATCACATTTAACTCAATTGCTTTACATTTCCTTCAGTGAGCATTAGATGGAAGATGTTTAAAGACTGGTTTCCTGATCATAGAAACCTGATTGGGTATACTTTCTTAAAATGTGGGTACCAGTGTATTAATGTAGTAAACAAAATGATCTATCCTTCCAATAATAATTGTTCACAGAAATTGTTTTGTTTTGTCTTTCATACCTTGAGCATTTACTTTGTATTGTTATTTATACATAATATTTGTTAGTTGCACATATTTGCAATATTTTCAAATATTCAGAGTTCTGTTTTTTTAGAATGAGCAATATTGTGTGTATTACAAGTAAATGGACAATTTAGTACATTTATCTTCACTTTTTAATTTTATATATACCGGTATTCTTTTATCATATTTGTAAACATTTTTGAAGTTAACTATTTTTCTGTTTTATTTAGAAAATAAATTTATTTCACATTTTTTATTTATTATTATCATTGTTGTCATATTTTACAAGATATATACTTGTCTAATTTAGCAAGTCCTTTTGCAGTTTATAAAACAGATAGATTTGAAAAATAATCCATTTTCTCAAAGATTTTCACCACTATCATCCTGAAGATGCATGAAATATTTTTCACTGGAACCAAACAATTAACTATTTATCAATAATCACCACAGCCTTTCATGGATTTTTATGCCCTGTATACAATAAAGAACATTCATGTTTTCTGGTCTACATCAATTAGACCCTCCTAATAAGGAACATTCATGTTTTCTGGTCTACATCAATTAGACTCTCCTAACATGGAACATTCATGTTTTCTGGTCTACATCATGAGACCCTCCTAATAAGGAACATTCATGATTCTGGTCTACACCAATTAGACCCTCCTAATAAGGAACATTCATGTTTACTGGTCTACATCATTTAGAATCTCCTAACATGGAACATTCATTTTTTCTGGTCTACATCAATTAGACTCTCCTAATAAGGAACATTCATGTTTTCTGGTCTACATCGATTAGACCATCCTAATAAGGAACATTCATGTTTTCTGGTCTACATCATTTAGACTCTCCTAACATGGAACATTCATGTTTTCTGGTCTACATCAATTAGACCCTCCTAATAAGGAATATTCATGTTTTCTGGTCTACATCAATTAGACTCTCCTAACATGGAACATTCATGTTTTATGGTCTACATCATGAGACCCTCCTAATGAGGAACATTCATGTTTTCTGGTCTACATCAATTAGACCCTCCTTATAAGGAACATTCATGTTTTATGATCTACATCATGAGACCCTCCTAATAAGGAACATTCATGTTTTCTGGTCTACATCATGAGACCCTCCTAATAAGGAACTTTCATGTTTTCTGATCTACATCAATTAGACCCTCCTAATAAGGAACATTCATGTTTCTGCTCTACATCAATTAGACCCTTCTAATAAGGAACATTCATGTTTTCTGGTCTACATCGATTAGACCCTCCTAATAAGGAACATTCATATTTCTGGTCTACATCAATTAGACCCTCCTAATAAGGAACATTCATGTTTTCTGGTCTACATCAATTAGACTCTCCTAACATGGAACATTCATGTTTTATGGTCTACATCATGAGACCCTCCTAATAAGGAACATTCATGTTTTCTAGTTTACATCAATTAGACCCTCCTAATAAGGAACATTCATGTTTCTGGTCTACATCAATTAGACCCTTCTAATAAGGAACATTCATGTTTTCTGGTCAACATCAATTAGACTCTCCTAACATGGAACATTCATGTTTTATGGTCTACATCATGAGACCCTCCTAATAAGGAACATTCATGTTTTCTAGTCTACATCAATTAGACCCTCCTTATAAGGAACATTCATATTTTCTGGTCTACATCAATTAGACCCTTCTAATTAGGAACATTCATGTTTTCTAGTCTACATCAATTAGACCCTCCTTATAAGGAACATTCATATTTTCTGGTCTACATCAATTAGACCCTCCTAATTAGGAACATTCATGTTTTCTAGTCTACATCAATTAGACCCTCCTTATAAGGAACATTCATATTTTCTGGTCTACATCAATTAGACCCTTCTAATTAGGAACATTCATGTTTTCTAGTCTACATCAATTAGACCCTCCTTATAAGGAACATTCATATTTTCTGGTCTACATCAATTAGACCCTCCTTATAAGGAACATTCATGTTTTCTAGTCTACATCAATTAGACCCTTCTAATAAGGAACATTCATATTTTCTGGTCTATATCAATTAGACCCTCCTTTACTTTCTCCTGTATCAGGTTACAGCAGAATGCATTGAGTATGTAGGTAAAGGTAGAATCTTTGGTTAGCTTGCTTGTTAGCTGAACCGTGAAGTCATTATTAGGTTATGTATACTACCCTCCTTCCGGAGTAGTCTAGTCCTACAGACAGATATGGGTAAAGCCATAAAGGTGGTCTGGAAAGTGTGACATTAGGATATAAAATTGAAGTTTTTGATATCTCTATCAATTCACATTATTTTGTTAGCAACCATCTGTATCTTACTACCTCTTTTTATTTGAAATCCATGGTCTTGCTATGTTTTTGTAAAATTGACCTTCCTTGTATATTTTGTGTAAGTTATATTGACAATAGTGCAATCTTTTGTTTTAAATAGTTTCTTATGGGATTAATGAAATGTATCAATACTTAGCTGCACATAATATCTTTCAACATCATTATATCATAGACCAATTCACAGAGATATCCCTGATGTTCTGAAATGTCAGTGCTCTGAGCTAGATCAGTATGTTATAGATGTCCAAAATAAAGTTTTCTTCTAGTAACTTGTGTAAAACGTTTTTTGAACAGCAATTATATTTGTAAACATAATTATTATATTTCAAATGAAATATTTTATGTAGTTGTTGTAAACCCAGATCTTCGTTGATATAATTAAATCCAAATTCAATGTATGTTATTTTGACAATAACCCTTTTTGATAGTTTTTCTGCCTTAATTTTAAAACAGGCCACTCAAAAAACAGGGGGGCAACACTAGCTGATTTTTTAAGTAGGGGAAAACTTATCCAATACAGCTTAATCTTCTAAATGAAGAAGACGACTATAAATCTTGTATACCATATCTTACATGTAGGTTATATTGACGAATAGTGTTTAAATTTAACCTTTTTCAAAATCATTTTTTTTAAAGATTTTTTTTCTACTATTGTCTAGGTAACTGATGGTTATTTTTCATTTAACCAAATTATGATTGAATGCTTATATTGCTCACAACACTACCGTCTTTTGGTTGTTATATTGACACAATGTCAAGTAACTTACTGAAATAAAACAGGAAATCTGGTGTAACATCTGAACACAAAGAGTTTGATCCATTATGTTTATTTTGATATAAACTTAATTCTTGAATGCATGCAGGGGTTCATGTTCATTATTGTTCAGCTAATAATGAAGTCACAAGCTCATTACCAAAACTATCTGAGATCTATCAGATCAAAGTGACAACTATAGAATGCAAGAAAAATAAAGGTGCACTAATTCACAAATCCAAAAGGGAGAGGAGAAATCAAGATAAATAACAAGAAAAGAACAAACCTTAAATAACAACTCAAACCCAATAAATAAGCTTTATTTTAGAGTCGGCAAGGTATACAAACAGAGACAACATAAGCTCTAATGAGCTTTTAACCGACATACTTTTAACCCAATAAAACTATCCGGTGCACTGCAAGAGTTAGCTTAGCCTGATGGTAAACAGACACTTAATGAGTTACTCACAGTATTTAGGGGAACATATTGTTTACTGTTGGTATTTAGGAGTATTGTTAATTAGGCTCACTTGAACTGACTTTGTACTTTGGTCAAAGGTTGCTCATTTAATATGTACAGTTATGATACTCTTGGCTATGTCAGATGGTGACTTTATTGATCAACTGTTTTCAACAATTTTTTTTCAAGAGCTTATTAAATCAACACTTTTGAAAGTAAAGTATAAAACACATTAACATGATTAATGTATGACAATACTAATAATTAAACCACTATTCAAGAATCAAACCATAAATCATTTATTTAAACAAATTAAAAACATTTTAAAGTTCATTCTGCTGTCTATTCCACTGTTCAAACTCAGTTGATTTATCTCAAAGATCTGAAAAGCAAATAAATAAAGTTAGAATAGTTTTATACATGATTTTAAATTGAAATGAATGAAAATGTGAGTCAAGGTTCCATGTTGAAGGCCATAACGTGACCTTATAGGCTATTATTGTTTTTTTTTACTTCTTTAGGTCTTAGGTGGAGAGTTGTTTCTTTGGCAATAATACCACATCTTCTTATGTTTATGATGTTGTATGTTATCCATGTTGAAAACAGCATTGGAAATAAGTACCACTTCACATTGATTTGCATTGTGTCTACATTCATGTTTTTATTGTCAAATTCAAGGGTATGGGGAGGTTGAGTGCTTAAAAACAAACTTGTTGCACCGTCTCAAGACAGAAACTTGCATGTTATAGTCTTGTGACAATTTTCTGTTTTCTTGTTTATTGTTGTTCTTTTGATAAAAGGCTGTATTTACATCTATAAAATTAATGTGTCAACTAACTCTCTTTTGGACCATGGTTATATTGACTTGAATCCTTTAGTTGTCAACTTATGCTCTATTTCAAAGAAGCAGGAAATATGCTTACAATTTCATTAAAAGGCTTAATTTTTTTATTGTACAAGAGATTTGTAGGCTAAAAGCCAAAGTCAACATATTTCAGTAGTAATAGTAGCTTTAGGACTACTGAGGGAGTAGGAGTTATATTGACCCTAACATTAAGGTGTCAACTAACTCTCTTAATGACCCTGGTTATATTGACTATGCATATAATTGTCAACTAACACCCTGTGAAAAAGCACTGAAAATTACTTCACCCTTTTTAAATGTATATTAACTTTCCCCCTTTATTATCTGTAAGTTGAAATAGAAGTTAAATGAAAAGAATGGTGCAGTATATTTCTACAAAGATCATCTACATCCTAGGTGTTATATTGACTGGGTTGACAAAATTGGTCAAGTAACGGTCATATCGATGTTACCGTAAAAAGTGAACGAATGGTTTGACTTGGGTGTTTGAATGCGTTATGTTCGTTAGTTCTTATCATTCTAAGCATATTATTTGGACAAAAATTATATAAAACAGTGTCAATCTGACAGAATGGTTTGGTCGTTATACTTTGTTTGACGCCCTGGTCGTTATTAGTTTGACATTTTGCTAAAAACTTAACATCGAGTTCTTCTTCCATTTTCATCCATGAATGATAGTGATGCTTACATTTAGTTTCGTATATATAGCAATTTTGAAATGAAACAAAGTATTTTTTTCTCCCTGGATAAACTCTTTCCGTTAATAATAAGGAATAAACATTTACGTACGTTATACGTTATTTTGACATTACAAACTTGCCATTC